TATTGTAACCCCCACCGGTACTACACCACTCAACCCGCTCAGGCTCTGATCGAACCAACGTCTCTCTGCATGGTATTTGGTTGCTATAAAAAGAAGGTCAAAGGCCATGGCCTCTAGGGTCTGTCACCAGAGCACCTTTTCGGATTCAGAGGAGTATGGTTTTACCTGCGCAGCACTTTACAAGCTTGCCTCTGTTACACTCACCCCCCTAAACCTCACTCCTATCCGGGTCATGGCACCAAAGTAAACCCTGCCGGTCCTACACCACCCACACCACTTCAGGCTGAGATCGAACCGGCGTCTCTCAGCATGGGAGTCAGTTGAACTGTAAATGTGTTCCTATCAGATTAAAAAGTGTATTCCACTTAGTTGTGTACATTTGCTTCTTGGCACATTTTCAAAATGTATGCGCGTAGCTTTTGTGTTTCTCATTTTTAAGAGATTTTCAAAAATATAGAGATATAGTCACATTAGGAGACATTAAAGGGGACCTACAGTATTATAAACCTTTTAGAAGATGTAAAAGAAGTCGTTAATGTCCCTAGAATGTGTAGGCGATGTTTCAACTAAAAATAAAACACAAATAATGTTTTATAAATAAAATTGTGCCGTTTTGGTGACTGTCACTTTAAATTCAAATAAGATTGTGCTCTTTTCAAAAGAGGGTGGAGCTACTAATATCTGTGCATCACCATAGCTGCAAATTCAAAAGCAAAACTAAAGTCCTATGATAATGTGTGAGAGATCGTCACTTATGGGTGGGGCTTTCCCCAGGGCTTGGGTGGGGCTTTCCCCAGGAGAATGTCAGTCAAAGTGTTTCTGCAAACTGTTTTTTTATTAAGTGTGATTATGAAAAAAAAATATTTAAAACATTTTTACCATTAGAAGTTGGTGATTTTCACAGACTATATTAAGTGTTGCCACACATCTGTGTTTAAACACCTTATTAATGTGTTTTTTGCATAAAAGTCCCCCTTTAAGGCATGTTTTATAGTTATATTTGTGAAATTCAAATTCACACTTAAACGTTCATCATCAAATTTAAAGATATAAAATAATATAAAGTCTCAACTGTAAAGATATAGTCACGCTGAGACATTTATAATCATATTTGGTTATCCAAAACTCTATTGTGAGACAAAGTCATGTAGCCATATAGTTAGATATAAAGTCACACGGAGAGCAATAAAGTCCCACTGTGAGATGTAAAGTCCCAATTTCCTTTTTATCGACTCCTGAGGTGAGAAGGGCCTTCTATAAAAGGTTATTTGCCGAAGCACATATACAAGTGTAGGTATAATTGAATCTCAGCTAAATGCATTCCATCCATTTCCTTAATAGCCCCGGATTTCATCATAAATATAAGTCCTATCTGTCTAAACTGAGGTTAAACTGATAGACCACTCTAGAAAATAGGACTGCGCTATACAACGAAAAGTATCATTATCGTGATAATAGTATAGGCAATATCCATACCACAGAGAGAAGTGCAATAAATGAAATTAATTTTATGTGCCAATATGCATAGGTTTGTAAACATGCATAGGTTGTTTATCTAAATCTGACCAATCAGAGAAGGCCTTTACTATTTCCACCCCCACTTCTCCAGTAGGTGCTGTTAGGTGAACCTAAAGCTAAAAATAAAAACTAACACTGTGAGACGAGAGAGGAAAAAATTACAACAGCCAATAAAAATAAAAATATCAAGGTTTTTAGTCATTTGTTTTAAAGTACAAAGTTTGCACCTTACAGTATCGTGTAGGCCTACTTAAAAAAATGACATGAGCTATGGTGGCCGATCACATATGCTGACGCCATAGGTGGGTTGTTTGTGCTGATAGCAGCCTGTTGACCATTGACACGTTCACAGCATGTTGTGCTGTTCTGAAACCAAGGCTAGATTACAGGCGCTTCAATGACCTCGACAGACCTATCAAGTTGTCCTCTAAACCAGAAGAGCATATTTCCTCCCGCAATATCATATAATGATTGTACATGAGAATTGGAGAGGGCCTATTTCCATAACAATACAGAAACCCACGGCATTATGTAAACAATAGCATAAATTCAAATAGAATACTCAACGGATGATCACTTACAGCTGCTAAACCTTGAAAAACACCATAAAATGAAGCTCAGATAGACCAGCTGCTTTAAAAAAGAGCAGCTAGTACACAGTAACACACTACACTCGCAGAAATAAAGGTACGCAAACTGTCACTGGGCTTTTACCTTTTCAAAAAGGTACACATTTGTACTTGAAGGGTCTATTGGTACCTCAAAAGTATATGTAAGTTCCTAAAAAATTTAAGAGGAACACTTTTGTACTTTAGGTGGTAATATGTACCCTTGAGGAACTAATATGGACCTTTTAAGTACAAATTTGTACCATTTTACCTCAGTGACAGCTAGCATACCTTTATTTCTGAGAGTGTACAATGAGGTTTCATTAGTTAATGTATTTACAACAACCTCAAATAAGAAAAAAGTTGGGACAGTAGGGAAAATGCAGATAAAAAAAGAAGTGATTTCTAAAATTAATTTGATTTGTATTTCATTGCGAACAATAAAACCACACATTGTTTAATGTGTTCCTCATGATTTGGATTGTTGTTGTTGTTGTTGTTTTCCCCCAAAAAAACACGTGTTCCAATTCGGTTCTTACAACACATTTCAAAAAAAGTTGGAACAGCAAATAGTTTACCACCTTGTAATGCTGCCATTCCTTTTCACAACACTTAAAAAGATGTTAAGGGATTGAAGACACCAAGAGATAAACTGTTTCAGGTGTAATTTTGTCCCATTCATTCTAAAAACAAGTCTTAAGGTGAGCAACAGCAATGCATTAATGATGCAAATTACAGAAGTGCAGGTAACCTTTGCTAAGGCCACTGACACAACCCCATACCATGACAGATCCTGGCTTTTGGACTTGTTGCTAGTGAAAATCTAGATGATCATTTCTTCTTTGGTCAAAAGCACACAGTGTCCATTTCTGCCAAAATATATACCTAAAATACTGATCCATCTGACCACAGTTCACATTTCCACTGTGTGATGGTCCATCTGAGATGCCTCTGAGCCCAGAGAAGTCGAGGGCGCTTCTGGACACTGTTAACATAGGGATTCCAATCGGCACAGTACAGTTTTAACTGGCATTTGTGGATGTAACTGTATTGTGGTACTTGACAAAGGTTTGCCAAAGTAGTCCTTAGCCCATGTGGTGATTTCACTTATAGATGAATGACAATTCTTGATGCAGTGCTGCCTGAGGGACCGGAAATCCCTGTAGCTCTACTTAGGCTTGTCCCCTTGTCCTACAAACACTGAAATTCCTCCAGATTCCATGAATCTTTTAATGATGTTATGCACTGTTGAAGGTGAAATATCCAAATGTCCTCCTATGTTTTTTTGAGGAGCATTGTTTTTAAACATTTCAATCATTTTCTCTGTCACCGACTCGGTCCCAGTCATTCCCCTCGCTGGCCAGCAGAGGCCGCCATCCCCGGACTTCTAGCATTACATCATCCCTTTACACTGATCGTGCACACCTGAACTGAATCTTGTTAATGACCCACGCTTTCTATATAAGCCACACTCAAACTCGAACTCACTGCGAAGTCTTGTTTAGCCCCGGCCAGCATTACTGAGCGTTCTTTCCTCCTTGATCTCCTGTGTATTACCCTGGACTGTTTCTGATTCTGAGTTGTCTTCTGCCTGCCCACGACCCTTGATTTATACACAGACTCTGAACCACGCTGCCTGCCCTCGACCCAAGCCTGTCTAACGGATTCTGATCCACGCCGCCTGCCACTGACCCATGCCTGATAAATCACTCTGTGTCTGTCAGCCGCCAGCCCCAAGACCATTATTGATACTGTTGATGTATGTTCGCACCTTTGTGCGTATTGAATGTTTGTGTGTGACTGTGACTAATAAAACTGCATAATGGATCCCTCCATGTCAGCCTCCTCGTTACATTCTCACATATTTGTTGGCAAACTGGCGAAAACCTCAGCCCATCTTTGCTCCTAAAGGACTAGACCTTTCTTGGATGCTTCTTTTGTATCAAATCATAATTAAAATCTCCTGTTGACATCACCTGTTTCCAATCACATCATTATTTAACCAATTTACCTGATTACTAGCCTAAATTGCTCCTGTCCCAACTTTTTTTGCAATGTGCTTCAGGTCTGAATGACATGCAAGGATGTATAGCTACAAATTAAATGGAGTTAACCAGACTTGGTGTTCATATTGTCTGCAATGAAATAAAAGTCAAGTAAATTGGTTTTGTTGTTCACTGTTAAAGTTACGATTAAAGTTGTTCAACTGTTGAACTATGATTCATATAAGCTGTACAAGTATTGTTCATTATTTGTTCATATTAGTACACACATTAACTAATGAAACCCTAATGTAAAGTGTTACCAAGTATACTAATGCCTTAAAGATTGTTGATGTCATTTAAGTGAAGCAAACATAGAAAAACACCATAAAATGCTTATTGCTAACATGAAAAAACAATGAACAATACACACATTACAGTATTTATTCATTTTTGTTAATGTTAGTTAATGAAAATAAAGCTATATTACATTTACTAACTGTTCAACTGTGATAAATATAGGCTGTATGAGGACTGGTCATCATTAGTTTATGTAAGTAAGTACATTAACCAACATTAACTAATGAAACCTTATTGTAAAGTGTGACCACGCATACTAATAATGCATTAAAGATTGTTGATGCCAGTTAAGTGAAGCAAACAGAGTCAGATATACTGGAAACTTTCCCCTAAAGGTGCCGTTTAATGAGAGACAGGTCATTCACGGTTGATTCTGATCTTAAATTAGATGCATTTATGTTGCACAGAAAGAGCCGCAATTCAATAGAGCCTTGTTTGCTTATACCCAACAGTCCATATACTGTATGTTGAACAAGCCCTTTCAGGTTCTTCAAACAAGCACACAACTTGTTAAATAGTTTAAGGCTCTTACCTGAGGCACTGGGCTCATTGTAAATGACCAGTGTGGCTGGAGTAGGTCTGCGCTTGCGAATCTAAAGGGAAAAAGAAAGACATTTTGTAATAATGCTGCCATTTAGAGTACCGGGAAGGTGCTATGAATGAGGGTTTTCTTAAGCTGGAAGTGGAACAGAAGATCTAAAACACACTTAACTGTGCGCAAATCCCTGAATGACTTATTGGCTTACATTGCAAAACATATCTGTTAGTTTTATGTGATTGAGTTTTTAGTTTATTTATGGTTATGAATTGCATTATGTGAACTTGATCTCTGCTCTGTCAAATTTTGATGAGGAAATTCCAACTCTGCAGTTTGAAAAAGTGACTTTTTCAGTACTTAAAACAATATAATATATATACTATTATATTAATATATATTATTATTCATTAATTCTGTCATTCGTTCATTTTCTTTTTGGTTTAGTCCCTGTAATAATGTGGGGTCGCCAGAGTGGACTGAACCGCCAGTTCATCTGGCATATTTTTTACACAGCGGAAGCCCTTCCAGCTGCAACCCAATACTGGGAAAAACCCATACACACTCAAGCACATACATAAACTATGGTCGATTTAGCTTACCCAATTCACCTATAGTGCACGTCTTTGGACTTGTGGGGGAAACCAGAGCACCCGGAGGAAACCCACGCCAACACGGGGAGAACATGCAAACTCCACATTGAAATGCCAACTGACCCAGCCGAGGCTCGGACCAGCGACCTTCTTGTATTATTATATTATTATTGTAATATATTATATAAGCCTGTAAAGTAACTGAAAAGTATATCAGCTTATTTCCAGCTTTTTGCACTGTAATTTACAGCACCAGTCCAGGCAATAAATCTCTTTAAACTATTAAAAATATCAATGCAAGTCACCTTTTCAAATTTAAAAAAATCAAAAGTTGTTGAAGAATAGCTAGTGGCCCCGTAATGCAATTCAAAAGCACAAAACACGAATCACAAAATATGGAAAACTGCTTATTTATGGTTATCTCTCACAGTGTCCTGCTGGGTTAACCATAAGCTGTTTTACAGCTATTAACAGGTTTAGCTCGTCCTCATGCCTGACCAGCTGAAAAAAGCACCAAACCAGTTTAAAAGACCAGCAGACAAACTCAAGTTAGTAAGGCAGCAATAGTAATAATTTGATAAGGGCGAAGCAGTGGCGCAGGAGGTAGTGCTGTCGCCTCACAGTAAGAAGGTCGCTTGTTCAAACCTCGGCTCAGTTGGCATTTCTGTGAGGAGTTTGCATGTTCTCCCTGCGTTCGCATGGGTTTCCTCCGGGTGCTCCAGTTTCCCCCACAGTCCAAAGACATGCTGCAGGTAAACTGGGAAGGCTAAATTGTCCATAGTGTATGAGGGTGAAGGGCCCAGATGACAGGCCGGTCGGAATGTGTTGAAAATGTGTTATCATGTGGACAAGTCTAAAATGGATTGCTCCTAAGAGCTGACCTCGCAACCATATGGGACTAAGGCCGAAGAAGAAGAAGAGTAATAATTTGATAAACATGACTATTGTTAGTATAGAAATAATAGTAGTCAACCAAATTATGTTTAATGGTCTTAGTCTGAAACAATATATTGCATAAAAATAATGTATATAAATAAACATAAACTTCTCACCTAACTTTAATTCACATTACCAACCTCAGACTGTTGAAGTGAAAATTAAATAAATTTTGTTTACCATTTCAAATACTTGCCAAATGACGTTTAATAATGCAAGGAAATTTTTACAGTATGTCTGATAATATTTTTTCTCCTTATTTGTTTTAATTTGACTAGAATAAAAGCTGTTTTTAATTATTCTAAAACCATTTTAAGGTCAATATTAATAGTCACCTTATCCAGTATTTGTTTTTGATTGTCCACAGAACAAACCACTGTTATACACTGATTTGTATAATTACCCTAATTGTCTAATTAACCTAGTTAAGCCTTTAAACATCACTTTAAGCTGAATACTAGTGTCTTGAAAAATATCTAGTCAAATATTATTTACTGTCATCATGGCAAAGATAAAATAAATCAGTTATTAGAAATGAATTATTAAAACTATAAAGTTATTCAAACTTATGCTTAGAAATGTGTTGAAAAAAATCGTATTTCTGTTAACCCTTTAACAGGCATCGCAACCACCTGGTCGACCTTTTATGCATAAGCTATTATTATTCGAATTGCTTATTACTTTAATCAGTGTTGTGTCAGTATATTATCCAAAATAATTTTCAAGCAGTGCATCTTAAAGGGTTAAACATAAATTAGGAAATAATTTACAGGAGGGCTACTAATTCTAACTTCAACTGGTTACTTATATTCAAACTACTATTATTTTCAATGTCACTTTTTTCAACCAAAACTTCTATTGACAAATGATGAAAACATGTTCGATTCTAAAGATTCAAAACGAATGATTTCTCTGAAGCTGTCACAGCACCCTCTCAAAGTGCCACAGATCAAAACAACATTATTAGTAGCACCGTGGTACTTTTTGGTACTTCTGTAAGCATTTACTGACAGTGACAGATTGAACATAGGCGTATAATGTTCATGCTGACTGATTTACCCCACGTGTCTGGACACCAGCATTTGTTGGGTGATTCACTGGGATCAATACAATCAATTCCCTGAAGAAGGCTGCTGGGTTTACATCACTTTTAGCCTCACAACATGCGGAGTCCACACATGAGCTGAGCAACTTCATTCAAATACATCAATGAGTGTAGTTAATATGAGATTAGAGATCCTGTTAGAGAAATACATATAAGAATTGCAGAGAGACTACTGCTATTTGCTACTTGAACTATCAGGCCAGTACTGTGTTTTCACAACATCTGTTGAACATCTACATCTGTTCTCAAGCCCCAGCCAACTGTAGCACAAACAGATGTTTCTCATGGAGCTGCTGGATGTTGCAGAAGTCTTTTTCCTTATTATATAGTGCTTTACAAAGTCAAAATCATTTGAAAAAATAAAATAAAATAAAATAATAATAAACCTTGTTTTTCCTATTTAGAGCTTTTGTCTTGTTTCTGGTCCAAAAATCTAAAATCTCTTAAAGCAAGAAGCATTTTCTAGAGATGCAAAATATTGTGTTCTTTTCTAGAATAAGTTATTTTTTTCCTCAAAACAAGCAAAATTGAAAGTGTTCTTAAAACTAGCAAAATAATCCGCCCACGGGATGAGCAAAATAATTTAGTTTTTGCCTTAAAATATTATATTTTAAATATTTGGATTAGAGACAAGACAAAACTCTCTGAGTAAGAAAAACTGGTAACACTTTATAATAACTACAAACTATGAATAATTTATTAAGCATGAGCATATAGTTATTTCATTGTTTGTGAAGCATTAACTCTACAATAATAAACGTTAGTAAGCAGTTTATAATTGCAGTTACAAATGCTCTATTGTTGACTTAGAAGCACATGAATAATGTGCCTAATAAATGTGTTTTTATAATTTATTTATCATGAATAAATTAAGTATTACATTATTTACAAACCAATTGTATTTAACCTCTTAAGGCCCAAGCTGTTTTTTATCCGCATTTTTTATTTCTCTTTGCTATTTTTTTGATAAGTGGAACCTAATTAGAATAAAACCTAAGTATCATCTTTTGATAGGATGTACTTTTAGAGAAAATTGGTGTCCATATATGTGGACTTGAGGTCCGAATTTCCATAAAACACATTAAAGTCACCTTTGTGTTTCGACTATCAGTAAAAACAACATTTTGTGCTCATTTTGGACTGTTTAAATAGTGTTTGGGACATTTCATATGCTGCAAAACAGTTGCAGGATGACAGTTTATGTCTGTAACAAAATATTAAGCATAAGATATAAGAGCTGAAATGTGCATGTATGTGGCCACTAAGCCCTAGGAGGTTAAGAGTAGTCAAATTTTTTATTTTTTTTAATCAATCAGAATGAGTTCGTAAATGATTAATAAACCAATGATAAATCAATGAATAAATCAATGTTTATACTGTATCTCTTATTATTCAGACATATAGTAATGGTTACTATGTATGTTAATAAATGCTTTATTACCTCAACTACATGCAGTTTGAGTTAAGTTATTAGTTTTTACAAATTTAGGTGGATTGAACTTACAACAATTAAGTTGTCCCCCCCAAAAAAACTCAAGAATTGTGTTGTTTCAGTTCATTTTAAATAAGTAGTTTGAACAAGCAGCAATCGTCATTTCTTTGAGGGTATATGAACAGCCCCATTAACCACACTACACATCAAACTTGAACTAAACTCGTGCTATACCATTTTGCTGCCTGCATGCATGTTGAATTGACAAAGCTTGTAAGAACATTTTGTTTGTAATGCAGTTTCACATTATCATTGTTGCTTTATGAGATGAAACCCAATAATTGTTGTGCATAAAACCACCATCACTTTCCCAAGCAGTGGGACAGGCATCTTCAAATTAAATTGAAGGACTACAAAGAGCAAAACCTAGCTGATAACTGTGTTTTCTACATATATGAATAAACCATTAATTAGCACACTCATTTCCACAGAATACTTGTACTAAATTTGATGACTTATCTTTATAATGTGAATGCTGATGGCTTTAACAAAGAAATGTTATCTATAAGGCAACAAGCATTTGTTAAAATGCAAATGTTTATTGGAAAAAGTCTAAGATTCAGTTAGCTTGTTGGTTGATTATTTCTTATTGGTTGATTATAAAAAATTTTTTATAAGTTGATTGTTTTGCATTCACTGCTTCCCCCACACAGGTCAACCACTTGAAAATGCCCAAACCCCCTCTAAAATCAGTTAATCAGTAATACTGGCACCATCAAATCAGCTAGTAGATTCAGCTAGATAACATCTAACCATTTGCTAAAATAGCACAAATTGGAACTTTCCATTGGGCTAAAAACACTACGCCGCCTTACAAAAGCAAAGTGCAGAGACTACACATTTGGTCGAAATTGAGTTAATGCCTAAAATAGGATTTGTGACATCTGTTCTGTCTTGTGACAAAGTCTCCTGCTTCCATTTTCTACAACACA